GTGAGTTCCAGGACAGCCAGAACTATTACACAGAGAAACCATCTCAACCTCACTCCCTCCCCCCCCAAAAAAAGAATGAATGAATGAATGAATGAATGACTAAATAAATAAATAACAATGTCAGTTCCAACTGGCATAAGTAACCAACACCGACCCTGTACTATCAGAGTTAAAATACTTCAAGGTAAGGACAACTGCAGTCCCTTTGCACAGGTTCCAGAAGCAGAAGTGACAGCAGGGACCTGGCCCCAGCCTGTCTGGCACCCAGTCTTGCTCTTAGCCTTGACTTGATCTGTACCTCGCTATCGCCTTAAGTCCCTTCTTTCCCTGTTCCCATCACCTCTCCCTGCCACCATCCATTGCTCCTTCCCTCCTGGAAGCTCCAAGCCCACAGCCCAGGTCACAAGAGATGGGTCATAAAAGCAGCCATAGGGCCACCTGCCCAACTCACCTGGAACAGGCTGTACACTACTCAGCATGGTCACCAGGGAGGAGACTGGGCCTGTGGGACTTGAGTCCCTTAACCTGGATGACAGGAAGGAAGGCAGAAAGCAGAGGCATCAACAAAGGGAGGAAATCCCTCCCAGCTTCCCAGATATAGCCACGGCTACTGCAGGCCATGCGATGGTCCAGGACTCAGTTTCCACACCTGCACTTCCCAGCCTGCTACTTTGAATGGCTCCTGCCTGCTGTGGGTACTGCATGCCAACCACACTTTCCAAAAATAGAAGTTTTGGGGTTGTTTTGGTTTGGTTTTTGTTTTTACATTTAGACTGTGTAAGAGTGAGTGTGTTTGTGGCATGTGTAGAGGTCAGGTGACAACTTGAAGGACTTAGTTTTGGAACTCACTATGAAAACCAGGCTGACCTTGAACTCACAGAGATACCTGATCTTAGTGGAAGAGAACCAGCTCCTGCAAGCAAGACCTAGCTTGCTCCAGAGGTAACTGTCTGTAACTCCCATCCCAGAAGATCCAACACACACGGTGTACAGACACACATGTAGGCAGAACACTCACACACATAAAATAAAAGCAAAGGTTAGAAAAAAATTTTTTTTGTTTGTTTGCCAGGCTGGCCTCGAACTCACAGAGATCTGCCTGCCTCTGCCCGGTCCTGAGTGCTGGGACTAAAGGTATGCACCACCAATGCCCAGCTAGGAAAAAATGTTTTAAAAGAAAAGAAAATCGGGATTATTGGAAGAAGGTCGTCAGAGCTCAGGCACTTGAGGAACTGTACAGGCAGGCCACTGGGTATTAGAACTTCCTGCCGCACACAGAAAAGACTATGGCTATGGGAACAGTGGGGCTGGAAGTAGGCTGAGTTCTCAGGCAAAAAGGGAACTGAGAGTAATCACCCAAAGCTGACCCTGTAGTACATTCTCGCACACCCTCACCAGAGTCTCCACTCCCCAAGCAGGTACTCAGCAATGAGGCCCTCCACTTGTCCTCAGGCAGTTTCTTCACAGGTTAGACGCCCTAGGCGTGACCTTACTGCTATCTTTGGCCTCAAAACCCTACAGGACCAGTCTATAGAATCTGCCTGCCCTTAGGGAGCTTTCCAGGGATTCAAAAGCAGTGATTTTGCTAAGGTCCTTCCAGAAACCTGGGCCAAGCCTCAAGGCAACTACAAGGTCCTTTAGCCCTCTCCTGCCATCGGCCTCAGCCTGGGTCTGCCTGAGTGACCAGGCCAGCTCCGCAGGGTCACAATAAATGAGTTTTTTGGTCACTCTTGCCACCATCTCCGGCTAATACAACCCTATGAACAGCAACTCAGTGGCACACAAACAGATCAGTATGGGTTCAAACTCTGGCAGTTAACTGACTCTACCCTTCTGAGCCTCCATTTCCCCAACCTAGAAATAGGGCAGGGTGGGGTGACCAGCAGCAACTACTCTGCAGGGTATTGTGAGAAGTCAATGGGTGTCTGTAAAGAGCCTGGCACTATGCCTGGCAAAGAGCACTGTAACAGGCACCATCTCAACAAACCGCTTACAACCTTCTGTCTTCTCAGCTACAGCATAAAACCCCCCACTGTGCAGTCCGGTGCCCACTGTCCTGTCTGATGTCCTGAACCCTCAAATACTTCCTCCTCTAGGAACCCTAGCTGACATTACCAACCAGGAAGCTCTTCCTTCCACAGTCCTTGGGCCATTGTCTCCTGCTGATCACCCTATCACACCCTGTCTTACAGTAACCCCCCCCCCTCTGATCCTTGTCAGCCCTCTCTAGACAAAATCCAGCCAGCCTTTTGTCCCATTTCATGTCCCCTGACACCCCTGGCCACAGAAATATTCCATATGAATTTGAAAAATTACCCAACTTCCCATCTCAAGCAAAGAATGTCCTCCAAATAGTCCTGTTATTTCAAGCCATACTGAAAACAAATTCCAACCTAGTAGAAGTCTGTGCAAGCCCTAGAGATTTCTAACTCTGGCTCTGGTACTAAAGTGCAGACACATGAGCCCAGAACACAGACAACATGGGGCCCTGAGGCCAAGGAAGAGAGGGCTTGGATGGCTGAGGCCATCTCTCACATTCTCTGTTGGCGCCTATGCTTTCTTCCTGCTTATCTCTCCATCTGAAGACTCTCCCTTGCACACCCCCCTGCGATGGGAATCTTCCTATTTCTCACTGCCTTTCTTCCTTTACCTGTTGACTTCCCCATAGGCCTCTCTGCTCTGATCAGAATGACAAACAAGTGAGTCTGACCACACAACAAGGGACAGCCCCCAAGTCACCAAGGACCCTTTCCATGCCTTCCAGCCCTCTACTTAATCCCTAGCTTTTCAGAGCTAAATGGTGGAATTTCCATTCTTGTTCCTACAAGCTGACAATGATGTCAGCCCAGGAGAGCTCTCTATTCCCAGGGACCAAGGAAAGCCTACAAATCCTTGGGAATCCCACCCTCTGAGCCAGAGGGCCTTGGAGCAGTTGGAGCTATGTGCACAAACCTCCCTCCCCCAACAACCCACCACACTAGCCCTCAGTCCCAGGTTTTAAGATGTCATTAATTAGCAATTTGTATTCCATCTTTTAAGTAATTACTCAAAACCCCCAATCAGTGCTTGATTGGTAATCATATCCCTCCCCACACTACCCACACACTCCCCCAAAAGATTGGGCCCAACTAGGACATGAAAAAACAGTGGGAATCTGAGCCACTGTTCATAGTCACTAGTGGGGTCTTTCCTGGAGAACTACGAGGAGCCCAGTACTGGGCTAGCTGGACTCTAGAACACACAAAGACAGGTATCTCCAAGACGATTCTGCAATCTTGCTGGCTCAAAGTTCATCCTTCATACTAGCTCCAATGATCTCTGAGGCTAGAATATCAAGGCCTGCCTCTTAGATTGGCAATGAAGGCCCTGTGGCTAAGATACTTGGGGCATAAATCCTTGGCCTTAGGTCCCCAATCTGCCCAAGGGTTCTACTCTTGAGCCCAACCTCCTACCCACTGTTGATCTGAAAGTGACAGGTCTAAAGGGAGTTAAAAAGCAGGTCTCCTGGGTGCTGGGGAAAAGTCTGTTGACAAAGCCACCAGCTGTCCCCAGTTGGAGCCAGGGAGACAGACTCCTCCCTGAACCACCACCCACACCGGGAGAGCGTTCCTACCAGGACCCAGCCAGCAACGGAACTTGGACCATCATGAAGCCTCTGATCACAGACTCCAACTGACCTCCCCTCCAGCTCCAGCTGCCACACTAACAAGACCAAGGGCCAGGTAGAAGGGTGCCTCACCTGGGAAAGGGTGATGGGGCAGGGAGGCAGTTCATAGGATTCAACTGAAAATGAAACTATAAACCCAGGCATATCAAGAGGCTTAGTAGGGATCTGTAGTTGGTATACAGGACTGAGAGAGGGGGCAAATCCCAGATCCCATTTCCTACCTTCCTGACCTTTTCCACTCAGTGCCTCAGTTTCCCTTCTGTAAAATGTGCCTATCAATAAGGCAAGAGAACTTTGTAAACAAAACCGTGTAAAGCAGTGAGTTAGCCCAGTGCCTGGCACACAGCAACATGCACTGAACACTTGTTGAATATAAGCATGCCAACATTTCCCGAGGTCCCACACCCAGGCTTCATCCCCCACTGACAGATACACCCATTTTACAGGTCAGGAAACAGAAGCTAGGAAAGGTAAAGAACCTGCTCAAGGTCACACAGCTGGGATGTTATGAACACCTAGGTCTGTCTAACCTCAGTCCAGAGGGTAATATTGCCCCAGGATGTCCCCCCCGTGTTCTTCTAGGGTCAGGAGGGAGGACCAACAGTGGGATGTAGGATCTGTGGGGATCCTGGCACATAAAAGCCAGGTGATGGATGAGTCCTCAGATTCCTGGCAGCTCCCAGACCCCTGCGTCCTACAGGCGTCCCCTCCTCATGGTGGTCAAACGCTACAGTCCCGGCTCCCGGGAACCTGAGGGAGGAGGGGAGTTAGGGACCAGGCCGCTCAGGGCCCCGGAGAAAACCGGTCCGGCCGCCTTCCCCATTCCCGAAGCTGGGACCCGGCCTCTAGCCCCCTCCCATGCTAGACAAAAGTTTCCCCTGTTCGGGAGCCGGGGAGGGGGAGGGGGCATTCCTCGTGGGTGACATTATCCGTGACCTACAGCTGCCGCGCTGCCCGGCCCGCACCCCGGCCCGCCCGGCCCCGCGAGGCCCCCACCCCTTTGTCCTCCCACCGCCCGCCCGGCGCCCGCGCGCACTAAACTTACGCCCGGGGCCGCTCGGGCCCCCGCGCGGCCTGCACGCCGTGCCCGGCTTCCGAGCGCTCGACCCGGGACGCCGGCCGCCCAGCCCTCCGGCCTCTTACCTGCCTCGGCCGGGGCGCCAGGGGGAAGCGGCGCGGGTGGCCGCGCGGCCGCCGGTCTCGGGCGTGCGCGAGGCGGGCTGCGGGCCGGCTTAACCCCTTGCTGGCCGCGCTGCGCCCGCGCCCGCGCCCGTGCCCGTGGGGAGCGCGCACAGGGCCGCCGGGCCGCCCGCCTCCCTCGGCCCGCGCCTACCTCCCCTGCCGTGGCCGTGCACGGGGCTCGATCCGGCGGCGCGGGGCGGGCGCGCACGCTGCGGGGGCCCAGCCAGGGCCGGGGCGGGACCGGGCGCCGCGAGCCGGGCTGGATTTCTCGCTTCCACCCGGATTCTCCCTCGGCTCTCCCGACCGATTCGGTGCTGCTCGGCGACCACGTGACGCGGGCTGCCTTTGACCCCGGTCTCGGAGCGGGTAGGGGGCGGGGGCCCGGGCTCGAGGGGTGTCAGTCGCGGGACCCGCCAGGGCTGCGCGCCCCGCCAGGGTTCCGGAGGCGATGACCCCGAGCAAACAAAGCCCTGGGGAAACCAACAAGTTATTTGGGGTCAGAGAGGGACCCGCGCTGGGGGTCGGAGAGGCGGCAGAGGGAAGGAGGGGGGACAAAGACACGCTCTCGCCGCGACTCACGGGCCTGGAATCGCTGTCTGGGCCCGGGGACTGCGGGTCCCGCCCCGCTGGCCTGTGACAACCCTCTAGTGCTCCTCAGACAACAGGTACCTGTCAGTGTGACCCCTCTAGGGCAGGACTTCACACCCACACGCCCTCGTTCTGGCTGAAAAACACTTGTATCCCTCCTTACTGTGAGGGTCTGATTCGCGTACTGATTTCATCGTTTACTAGGATGTCAGATCCCTCAACAAGTTGTTCCCAGCTTAATCATTTCCTCTCTGAGGCATATAGCAGGCAGACTGAGAGGTATATGGCCTTGTGCAAAAGTTTCTCCCATCTGGCCTGTTCAGTCCCACCCATCTCTCAAAGAGCCTGCAGGTTGGACAAGGTTCCTCGCATTAAGTAGGTAGAAACCCCGAATTTCCTGTACTGTACAGAGAGCCCTTTAACAGCTGATGTTAAAATTTATTCTCAGCCCAGAGAGGTCTGCTCTCAGCCATTCAGTAAGCCTGCAAGGGAGAGGAAGGTGGGGTCAGGCGGAACGTAGGTATTGACAGCCCCTAAAAGGTCCTTGCAGATTACCAGGCAGACAGACTTGAGGCCACTGCAAACACGGGAAACAACAGCCTGGACTCTGAAGCACCATTAGAGACTCGGGATTGTTAACTGTAGGAACAGAACTGAGACCTGGGGCGGGGGGGGGGCGGACAGGGACGTGAGGGCAGTCTAGCAGAGTGGAGAGTTCAGAGAAGGCAGCTGGCATTGGGAGGCAGGACAGGCCCATAGGAGTTCCCCAGTGGGATCAGGTGTCCTTGTTGGTCAGCCTACTTGTGACTCCCAGGGGGGTGGGGCTATTGAGTCCTAAACACTGCGAGATGCTGATCTGGGAGCTGAGAAAACTCCCAGGTTTCTGCTTCCGATATGTGCCATGTTACACCTCTGGAAGGAGGATCGTCAAACAGAACTGAGCCTGAACATAGGGCCAGACAGGATGTGACTTCCAAGTACATACTTCAACCACCACCAGTTTAGCCAGGGAAAACAGCATAGACAGCAAATTCTTGGCAGTCTGAATTTCCACCTCAACAGTGTAAAGTCCTTGAAAGATGGGCTGAGGCTTGAGCATGTCAAGCCCCTGGAAGGCAGTTTAGAAGATTCATTCCATCAACATGCAGCCCTGTGAACATGATCTGTATTCTATTTTATTCTCTCTCTTTCTCTCTCTCTCTCTCTCTCTCTCTCTCTCTCTCTCTCTCTCTTCTGAGACAGGGTTTCTCTGTGTAACTCTGGTAGACCAGGCTGGCCTCAAACTCACAGAGTTCCACCTGCCTCTGTCTCCCGAGTGCTGGGATTAAAGGCATCATGTGCCACCACCACAGTCCAACATGATCTGTATTCTAGACAGGAGTTCATGCTCAAGCCACAAGCTGAGGACATAGCTTAGTTGGTAGAATGCTGGCCTAGCATGCAGGATGGCATCGATCCCCAATGGCACATGCCAATAATTCCACAGCACTCAGGAGGCAGAAGCAGTAGTAGCAAGGTGTTCAAAGAACTCAAATGGACATGAGCCCCCTCCCCCACCTGATCTGGCCAGAGTGAGGCAGGAGGGAGGTAAAGGACCAGTACTATGGCTGTCAGGATTGAAGGAGCTAGGGAGGGAGGGGCTCCAGGAAGCAGGCTCTGAGCTGAATCAGATGAACAGCTAGGGTGGGTTTGAGAAGATGGACTTTCCTAGTTGGGGGAGCAATCCACCAGGACAATGTAGAAGTGGTTCTGGAAAAGCTGAGTGGAGCTTGTCAGAGGAAGCAGGAAGGGACGGCTGAGTCAGAAGAGACTGAAGAGCATCAGGCGCTGAGTCCAGCCTCCAGGAGCAGCTGGCTGCAGCCTGGACTGAACCTAATCCTGAGGGCCTGCCGGAGAGAGATGGCTTCTCATGGGAGAAGAGATGGCATGGAGCCAGTCAGGTCAAGGGCAAGTCCAAAGCAGGCTTGGAGGGCTAGCCTGTGAGTTAGGTAACCCCATGTCCCTGACAGCATTTTGTACCTCTGAGGCTTCAAAACTGCTTCACAAACTGGGCCTTCCAGTTTGCTGAATGTCCTGTGAGGATCTGTGTAGTGGGGAGGCCCAGCCATGTAGGTCTAGGGCTGGAGGACCTCCATTCTTCTATTCCCTCCCTTCCCTCCCTCCCTTCCCTCATGACCACTCCCCAGCCCCCTTTCTGAGGTCCAGTGTTTCCATTTCCGGCTTGAAACTTGCTTGAACTCATCATTCCTCGTCTTTCTGTGAGCTCAAGCTCACACCCCCCATATGTCATCCATGAGCCCTCCTCCCAACTCTTTTTCTCCTTCATCGGTGCCATCTGATGCATGACCTCCTTAGCTTGCTCCACTGTGTAGCCCTGGCTGGCCTGGAATGTGCTCTGTAGACCAGGCTGGCCTATGCGTCTGGAATGCTGGAATCAAAGGCATGAGCTGTAAAGCCTAGCCCCAGGCTGCTGATTTTGTTACAGGAATATACCTAGGCCAGTCTCTCTGGGCTCTGCCACATCTAAACTGTGTGGCCACGGTCATTATCTTTTCAACCCGTCTGTGCTATTATCTCTGAAATGTGGGCAATAATTGTGTGTGCCTCTAAGAGCTTTGTGGGAATTAAATATGTGAAGCCCTTCCTGTGGTATCCATCAGATGATTATCACTATATAAATGTTAGCTAAATGATGGTAATCCTTGTTTTTTGTTTGTTTGTTTGTTTTTATCTGTGCAGCCCTGGCTGTCCTGGCATTCTAGCTGTAGATCAGACTGACCTTGAACTCAGAGATTCACCTGTCTCTGCCTCCTGAGTGTTGGGCTTAAAGGCATGCACCACACTGCCCAACTATGATAGTGATCCATTAGGCCTCAAGGTTAAACTTTATCTTCTCTTGGGCTTTTTGGAAACTCCTGACGTAGCTCAGGCCCTCTGGTATACAGTTCCCACCCCCTTCTCACTGCCTTCCTGGTGCCTGCCAGCTGCCCAGCTTTCCACTCTAGTCCAAGGTCATTGTAAGTCTTTGTCTGGAACCCTGCTGAGTTCCAGTGCCCTGCATAGTACTTGGCTCATGGCCGGTACTGTATCTACCAACAAAATGCTCACCAACTGGCACTGCAGTCCCTCCTTCATTTAGACACCTAATGGTGCTCCCTTTAGAGTCTTCCTCACACAGTACTGGCAGGGGAGGAGGAACAAGCAAGAAGGCCTCTGTGTAAAATACAGTATTAGCCACTGCAGAGGGAGGCATGGAAGCACATAGGAAGACACAATACATTATCTATGTGTTGTGGTATGATGTAAATGAAACAAAATTCACATAAACAATGACCCTAGCCTTTTCAGCCAGCTTCACCCGTTCCTAAGCTAGGTTTACTTAAAGCAGAAAGAATGGGTCCTGTCCAGAGTAGACACTGAGCATCCTTCTGTCTGCAAACCTAATGTTCTCAGCATCTCATCCAGGGAACATTGAAGTCTGTAGGTCTTGATCACGGTTTTAATGATTTCCTATGAAGATAGTGGGATTTGTCAAGGATATTCCAAAGTTCGTGTCATTTGCTTTTTAAAGAGAAATGTTAAGTTGATTTTATGAATGTATAACTACATGTGATTTTATGTTTGGACTGCACTGGAGGCAGAAAATAGCCTGTGTGGAACCATGTGACCTGATCTGTGGTTTGGAGAACATGGTCACCATAATTACAGCATTGACCACATGGTGTAACAGTCTCCCCCACCCCCACCAGGGAGAGGGAGAGGGGTGGGGGAGAAGGGAGGCAGGTTGTTCAGTGACAAGGACTATAAACCGTGTTACCCGCTAAGCAAATGGAGATAACCTGTGAAATGGGCAGCTTATCCAGTGGAAAATAGATATAAAGTGAAATGTTTTGGAAACTGAAGTTTGTTTTGAGATGGAAGATGAGTGGGAGGGAGGGAAAGAAAACAAGAGCAGCATCAAGCGAGCAAGGAAACGTGGCTTCTGCAAATCCGTTAATTCCCCCTTTAACAGTGCCATTGTTATGCTCCAATTACACTCTGACAAAGACAAAGAAAAACATTCTCAGGGACCAGAGGTTTCTAAGTGAACGTTATCAGCAAGTAGCTCAAGGTTCCTTGAGGACAGGCCAGGTGGAGGAGCCCAGCCAATGGGCTGTAGACCCTGGAGCAACCAGAGCTGATGACTTTTTTTTTTTTTTTTTTTTTTTTTAAGGCAGGGCCTCATGTAGTCAAGGCTGGCCTCAAACTGATTGTGTGGTCTAGAGTAACTTTGGACTTTTGATTCTCCATCTTCTACCTCTTAAGTGCTAACATATAGGCCTATGCCACCACATCTGTTTTTATGCAGCACTGAGGAACCAAGTCCCCTGGAACCCAGGGCTTTATTGAGTTAGCCTCCCAGCCCTCAGAGCTCATTTTCGTTCTGTCATACAGTGGGTGCTAGCCATGGAACACCATGCCTCACACATACTCACACACACCCCCAATCAGGCACATTTTTATTGCATTACTCCCCTTGACTCTGTTGGCATCTGAGTTTCTGACTTCTGAAGTACTCCAATTCTCCTTAAAGCGATGGAGAGGGCTGGAGAGACAGCTCTGCTGTTAAGAGCACTTGCTGCTCTTACAGAAATCTAGAGTTCAGTTCCTGCACCCATGGATCATACACCCTCCCTCTTCTGGTTTCCATGGGCACTAGGCATGCACATGGTGTACATAGATGCATGCA